GTATTTACTAGATATAGGATAGTCTGGTATATAAAAGAGGGTGACAACGTGACGGAATAATATAATGTGTGTGTGTAGACAGTGAGTAATTGATCTGCAGTCAGAGAGTATTATTGAGCACGTTCGTTGATATAGCGTTTGTTATAGGGCGAATGTTGAAAATAAGTGTATCGTAAAGTTGTATTCGGAAAGAATAAACCAGTTTTATTAAGTAAGGACTTGTGTCGCTAAAGTTTCGTCGGAACGAAGTTACGGAAAATTAATTAACAAACGGAGACGTAACAGATTGAAGAACTCGACATTAGTACAAGTTCAAGGCAAAATAATAATGCCATCGTTAATCTTTAACCATTGGCAACACAACGATATTTTGCATGGTTCATTCGGTGGATATTTTTTCCTGTTCCACCTAAATCAGGGCCCGCGCTAGGAGGATGCTGGGATAGCCCGTGCATCTCTAAATTTCAGTATGGCTCACCCAGGTTCATTCTCCCTAGTGGTTTAAAAATCATATTATCAAATTTAAAAAATCGTATCACAGTATGGTGGCCATCACAAAAGTTCCATTGCCCATCCCCCTAAAGAAAGCAACTGGAGCCGGGGCACCCAGGCTTGACGTAAACAATAAAGACACGCTAAATACAAAAGAAGAAGGTTACAAGGCAAGCGTAATAAAAAACAATAACGTATATTATGTTTGTTTTTTTGTTGTTGTTGAATCATTAAAATTAGAATTATCTATCAACATTAAACATAAGTTGTGTCACGTTTCGCCTGTACGATGATATTCATAATTCAAATTTAACGGCTAGTCAAATATCGAAACTCGTATTGTTTATTGATTAATGCTGCTTTTTGTTTTAATCTTCTAGTTCTAGCGAAGTTCAGTAAAATATTCCTAAGAACTTTATTATAAAACATTGAAAGTTTATTAGTAATATTTTAAACATTTGTCAGGAGTGATTTGCCTATCATACCTAAGCTAAACTTTAGCCTAAAGACATGTACTATACTATATAGTCCATAGTAAAGAAATTTTAAGTAAACAAATAGCTTATTTTGTGCGATATTCTAATTTTGTATTACTTACGCTTAGAAGTTAGAATTAGTTTCTTTACATTGTCAAAGCGAAAGTAATCGGTTCGTCCGCAAGAATGGGCACATCTTTACATATTACAAATAATAACTTATTAAAAATGTTTAATAATTTGATTTAATTAATAACTTTGAATTCTTAGATTTATGTTTATATTGTTTAAATTGGGGATGATAAAATTTCTATAGTAGGCTCCAAACAAAAAGAAATGCTGAAACTGTGTAATACATTTGTTTAATTTTAAATGCCTTCCATTTCCAGTAGTTTACAAAGGGCATAGGGGAAACATCCCCACTAGACTTTTTTGCAAATGTGAGCATTTTATTTCCTTTTGATACCTTTTGGTGTGAAATGCCCATGCTATATCATTCATCAGTTACCCACCTCCCATACTGCTTGATTGTGAAATTATAAGCTTAAAATCCTAAAATATGTTCTAGAAGATTTATTTTCTCTTATTTATTGGTATGTCTCAAATTTATGAAATTGCATCAGAAGTTATAATAAAGTCATTGTTCTCCAAATAAGTGATATTTTTCTGGCTATGGCACTTTATAGGTTTTCATGTTTTAGTAAAATTTATAACAAGAACATTTACATGTGTTGAAAATCTAAAACCATGATCTGATAATTTAATGTTTAAGGCAATAGGATTGTGTTAAAGCATGATTAAAATGAAACATATTTGAACAATAAAACTTCTCAAGTGAAAAAAATACAGTATAAGCTGAAGTATGAGGTTCATTATGTTATATTAAAATGATTTTGTAGGCTTATCACATCATTACTGTCCATGTTGACATGTCTGGTCATGCTTTATTTGACAATAGTGCATTTTGACAATGGCCCTGGCAAAAGGCTCCTTTGTAAAGCTGTCATGTTCTAAGCACACTTCTCCTTCCTGCAGGTTTTTATAATCCATCTAGTATATGAGGACAGCTGTTTCCTAATGCCTGTTTCAATAGTTTGATTGGATAGAAATCTATTGGTATTGCATCTGGTGGCTTGACCAGTATGTCTTTGCATGGAACAGCACAAATACAAATTTCATTCTCCAGCTGCTTGATATATGCAAAGTTAAACTGATGTGATATGGAAGCAGTTTGTGTTCATGTAACTTGTGTCACTCTTCCAGACAGAGATTCTTCTTGATAATTTTACATATTGTTGCCTGGGACAAGTGGATGACTTTTGCCACTGACCTTTTCATTCATTGATTCTGACCTGTTAAAAGTTGCAGTACTTTTCCTACCACAGATGGGGTAGAACTTGTTGCAAGTTTCTTTCTCTGTAGTCCTAGTTACCCAAGTTGATTTATATTACTTTACTTTCCAATACCATTAAGTATAAGGGACATTCCCATCTTAGAAATTCTAAATCCTTGATCCAAACTCATCTTTATGATTTGAGTGTATGAATATTTTGCATAATATTATATCTCCTTCTCAAATACATGCTGCTCGACCTCACATTTTATATCAGCTGTGGTTGTCATGAGCCTTGCTGGTTTCCTTTTTCAAAATCATGTACTCAACACTCTGTATTACTGAGAATGTATTTATTTTCTTAAAAAATCACTGAATTTTAAAGGGTTGTTAGATTGATATTTAATATTCAACAGGCTTTCACTGCTAAAACACCTTAAAATGGTATTTCATAAATAACATCAAACATTCAATATGTACAATATCTCATACACTTGAATTATAAATATTAATGTTTAAATTTCATTATGTAATCTCAAAATTAGCAAAATTTGAGAAAATAACCAAAATGTTCTTGTGACAAATATTTCATTTATACCATATTAAATATGAATCTAACAGCCCTTTAAAATTCAGTGATTTTTTTAACAAATAAATAAATACTCAGTAATACAAAGTGTTGAGTACATGATTTTGAAAAAAGAAATCAGCAAGGCTCATGACAACCACAGCTGATATAAAATCGAGGTTGAGCAGCATGTATTTGAGAAGATTACAACATTTTAAGATGTTTTTAGCTGTAAAAGCCTGTTGAAAAAAAAGTGCAAGAAGTTGTTTGTAAAAGATTGTTGAGTGTTAGAGTTGCTATTTTTTTTACTACTTAAATATTATTTTATAAATACAAAATGCGTTATTTTTATATTTATAAAACATTTCTCTCAATCTGAGGGTATTTGATTTAATTAAGGCCCAACTTTAGCCAGTAAAGATCTCAATCTTTACAAACTTTTCAAAACAGTGAAAACAATTGGGATGCTATAGTAGGGTAAGATGTTTTTATGTTTATTTTTCTTTTGTAGTTTTGCAGGTTAAGAGATACTGGCTGTTACTGGTTAATTGAAAATAATGATTAAAAATAAGCATTCATTTTTGTCTGTTGTGAAAAAAATAAATTATGTAATTTTTGAATCAATGCAGCAAATCTTCTAGTGAATATGATTGGATATGTTCAGAGAGATCCTTGCTCGCTTAATACTATCTTGAATGATGTGGCAACTGCGTCTCTCTTGATAAGGCTTAACCAGTCACCTGACACATCACAAGGTCAGTCTGTTCTTCATACAAATGGTGTATTCTGTAAAATGTATGTAATTAGTCCTAATAAGATGGTTGGTCATTATATGTGTGTACATATCCATTTACTCATGTATTAGGGATGGAACAAATATTTGTACTATTAGGTGAAATTTCATCCAATCTGATATTAATTTTGCAATGAAATGGATTATAATAATGTTTCCATCAATGAACTATTTTAAAAAATTCTCATGCTTGATACTACTTGCATGTGCATCACATAGAATAGGTATTGTATTGTTTAGCCAAGTAGTTCCCAAACTCTTTTAGTCTGAGGCTCCCTTGATGTGAATAAAAAAAAGTTTGAGGCTCCCCAACCTATAACTTTAGCATGGTGATTGAAAAATAGTGCCGTAGTAAAAACAATAACATTTCCTTTAGACATGCTGTATTATTTAATTAATTCTACATAATTTTTTTGGGTCATTGTTTATTTAGAATTAGAATTAATTCAGTATCTGTGTTTTCAACCCATTTTTTGGTGGCCCCCCTCTGGAGGGCCACAACTCCTATTTTGGGAAACACTGATTTAGTGATGGGTGTTTGTTATAAGCTTCTAAACCAAGTAGCATTTTCCTTGGTATTAAAGAGTGAGAGCTCTGGTAGTTGTAACAGTTGTAATACAGGTAGTAATTATTTAGTTTAAGTAAATATCACTACCACTCATTGAATTACTATTGAGTAGCACAGGAAGTCATGGTAGTGGCAGCAACAGGAAGAACAAATGAAACAACAATCTAAAGTGTATGATCAGGGTGTTAAACACTGTCTCACACCATCACTTGCCACATTTCCTTTGTAGAATGTGCATGGTATTGGTCCATTAGACTGATCCTACATTGGATAAAAAATTTTGACTATAATTTCAAAAGTTCTATGTGTATCAACATGAAATGTGACAAGCTTTAAGTAAAATTGTACACAAAAAATCAAATGTGCACTCAAGATGTGTCTGTGATTTGATGATGTCATTTTGATTCAGACTTTGATAAATCAGAGTGCAAGGCAATGTTTATGTGAAGAATGAAATGCATTTTTCAGTCATACAGTTTGAATATTGCCTTTGCTTAACCTCCAAGATGCATATCTATAGTTCTTTTCAGTATTCCTATTCGTATTTGCTATTTACTCTTCTCCACCAGGAGCTGTTGCCAAAGCAACAATGTAGAGTATAATGAATAATTGATAAATCTGACATCAAATACACAGTAACATGTTGAATGGTACTCTGTAAGAAGTTATGACATGCACATTTTGACCACCACCCATGCAAGTAGGATTAAAAGGCCAACATTGGTCACTCACTCATGTAGAACTATACATTCTTACTATTGTTGCGTCAGCAGTCACATGACCGCCGTGACGCAACGTTTCTAGAACTATCATGTACTTTGTCGAATGTTCTACTTCTTGCTAGAAATAGGTTACGCTGGTATATAAAAGAGGGGAAGGTAATGTGTGGAGAGATAGTGAGTAATTGATCTGCGGTCGGAGTATTATTGACGTTCGTTACTATAGCGTTTGTTTAGCGC